CTAAACAACGACGAATGTTTATCAGAATTAAATTCAAATGCACAACATTTAATTATATTTGCAAAAAATGCAAACGAGTTATTAGAAAAGGAAATTGATGATTTTATATGTGTCAACACTAAAAATCTTTTTAAACGATTTGCTATCAATACCACTTTTTTGAATGAAAACCCTTTAATGTGGGCAAATAATGCAGATTATAATACAGCTCTGTCAATTTTAAAAAATATTGCAGTTATAAATGATGTTGCAGAAAGAGGAGTAAAAATTATAGAAGATTATAACAACAAAATAACCAAAGATGAATCTCAAAAACAATATCTACTACAAGTTGTTAGAGATTATAACAAAAAATATCCTGACCATAGAAAAGAAACACTTACCCAAGTTACACAGTCATAAATTTAGTTATATCATTTATATTTAAAATATGTTAAAAATATGTGTTATTATTTATTGTAAATTGTTTTCACTATTATTTGTATGTTATGCTGATGGAAATATCTCAATTTTCAAGATTTTTTTTTTTTAATTTTTTGATTAAAATATTTGAAAAAATAAAATATTTGGAAACTAATCTATATGAAACAAATTTTAGTAAATTTAGTTTTCTATCATTGTATCTTAACAAATTTTCTGTAACATTTTTATTTCCAGAATTATTTTTAAGAATATCAAAAAAAAATTAAAATATTGAAAATGTTCTATTTTTGTAACTTTGGAGCTTTTGCGGCACGGGTTAAAATTAAAGAATTTGCATGAAACTTTATTAGTATGGTTTTTTCAGGTAACTTAACCTTTTTAGGGGGGGTAATCTCAAAAAAATGAAAAATGAAAATTAAGGACCACCCTAAATTTATATAATTATTATACATTTATCTATAAATGAATAATAATATATGAATTTTTAGAAGTAAACGTGTATTACAATTTACAAATGAGTTTACTAAATTTTCCAGATTTTTACCAGGACATGAGAATTACACGTTAATTATCAACATGGATTCAAATTATACACAGCGTGTACGTTTATCAGACAAAATATTAAATTTGTGTGACTCTCTAACTGTTGTTGTTGGATCAGTAAACTCGAATTTTGACACCGGGTTAGTACATAATTATTTTGTAAAAATAAGTAGATAATGTTCCATTGTGAGGATTGTTGCATTAAACAAATAATATTAGCAATCTACTACAATACACTACAGTATACATATTTATATAATGTTTTATTTTTAGAAAATCAATTTTAACCGCAGAGTGGATTGATCTAAGTCCCGGCGCCACAATTATACTTACTGAAAAGACTGAAACAGGATCAACACAATCCTCCGGTACTCAGTTGTTCATAACATTAAAAGCACTACTACTTTGCTTATTTTTCATTAAAATGTGTAATATATAGTGGTTAGATTTGCAATAAAATAAATAATTAGTTAAAAAATCTTTTAAATTGTGAAAAAAAAACATTTACTTATTCAAAAATATATTTATAAGACCATTGTAAACATTTATTAGGTATATCAACTATGATTGTAATTAGTTAAAAGAATAAAATTATAATTTAATAAGAGATTTAAAATACCTACCTAGGAGTTATACCTAAGTATAATTCATTACGAAGGTGAGACAATAAAATTAATTTGTGTTATATTCTGGTTTTTATTATGCATATAATATTATTGCATGTTGATAAGTTAATTTGTTATTTTTAACTCATATCTTTTTACACTTTATCATAATATGCAATATTTTATTGAGGAATGAGAACAAGAAAGTCTTTGGATAATGATTTTTATTTAAGAAAAATATTGTATGGTAAATTAAACTTTTTTTTTGAGGAGTGAGAAAGATAAATTGTTTTCAATCAAGCAGGAAACAATGAAATCCATAATCTTCGGTAAAAAATACATTTCAAAATACATATAATATAAGGTAAGTGTATAGATGTTCACTTTCAAAACCACCTCTATGGTGAAGATCCACAAGAAAAATAATATTAAACACATCATAATGAAGATACCGCATATAGTATTATGTAGAAGTATAGGAAATATTGCACAAAAGAATAAAATCAAATTATAAAGGAATAAAGGAATTGTATGAAATTATATTAAAATTATTATTTGCACTTTAAATTACAATACTTTTCATTGGTTTCGACAGTTAAAGTCGATGATTTGGAGTCAAAAAGGTTTTTGGAATAATATTACATGTTTGGTAGTTACGTAAGCAACACCAACACTGCGATAAGCAGATGCCGCCTTCCCGCTACTCTCGGTAACCGGATCAGTTCGTGCCCGCACCTAGCCGTTGCCAGTGTCACGCGACGTGAATGTTGTCGTTGGTTTTTGTTGTTTTTACCATGTTGTTTTTTATTGTGCGCTGTGTCTCGTAAAACCCGTCATCGTCCTACCCATCACCGTCGAAGTCACCGTCCTACCCATCACCGTCGAAGTCACCGTCCTACCCATCACCGTCGAAGTCACCGTCCTACCCATCACCGTCGAAGTCACCGTCTTACCCATCACCGTCGAAGCCACCGTCACCGAGGTCAACGCGTCACCACCGGCATTGGCTGCGTACGTCTTTATTCTAAAACTTTATTATAATTTGTTGTGTTATTTTTATTCGTCATCCCCGACGAATCCCCCAGATTGGCCAGTCCCTGTGTAACCCTTTACTTGTACCTAAATTTGTTTTGTTTTGAATTTTTTAAAAAATAGTAGTCCGCCGCTCACGGCAAAAATCAAAATACAGTTGTTACCATTTATTTAAACAATACAGTCCACTAACCTAAACTGAGCTAACATTTGGTCCTTCGTCCTAGGATATAAAAAAAAATTACTATTTAATATTCTAAGTGATTTGAATCATTGTTGGATTTTAGACATTTAATCGTTAGTTGTATGATCATTGAATTAGACCATTACGTAATAATTATAATATGACAATTGTAAGTGTCTACTGGGTATTATGATCGATTTGGACTTTGTACTCATTAGGCTCTAATTCTATCACCACTGCTATCGCTAGGCGCCAAGCGGTCTGCGCAAATCTTCACTCCCCGTACCGCGAGAGCAACGTGGATCCGCACTACCTGTACGTAATTATAAACGGTGCACAATACGTTTGGTAAAAAAAAAAAAAAAACTAGGTCACGTATTTATACACGGACAATTTATCGTTGCAATTTCTTATACACATACAATATATAACAATGGGCGTTTATGAAGAAGCAAAAGCTCGCATATCAAACTTGACAAATAGAACTCGTCGTGTGTATGACGCAGGGGAGGCAATCAAAGGAGATTCGAACGATAAGAAGGCAAAAATTAAATTTAAGATAATGTACGCAACTCTAGAAAAGTTATCTGAAGATTTTGAAACGCAGCTGTCGACAATTATTCGATATCAGTGCAAAGGAACAGCAGAGCCGGACGACAAAGGGGAAACAGAAAAATGGCAAGCTGAATTTGAAGAGTTGTATGTAGGCTGTAAAATTCTTGCAGATGAGTACCTGCCCGAGGCTGCGGTTGAGTCAACGCTAAATAGAACTTTTTTCGAACAAAAACCACCTAATTCTACAAATACCTACTTTCCAGTAGAAAAATTGTCTGTTCCGATATTTAGGGGAAGTCCATTAGAGTACACAAGTTTTCGAAACATGTTCGATATTCTGGTACACGAAAGTAATATGTCACCGGTACTTAAATTTGGATATCTGAAATCCAGATTGGAAGGAGAACCCTTAAAACTAATCGGAAATCTGATGCTGACAGCCAGTAATTATGAGCTAGCCTTATCGCAGCTAAATGCAAGGTATTCAAACCGTCGTATCATCGCCGAGAGTCACCTTGACGAGTTGTCTAAAGCACCTAATGCATCGCACGATGATGGAGGTTCAATAAAAACACTATTGAACACCATCGTTGAGTCCACCGGAGCATTACGAAACTTATCATATGCCGTAGATCAGTGGGATCCAATTCTGTTATATTTGTTACAAAAGAAGTTGGACCAAAATCTCAGGACACAGTGGGAATTGTTAGTAGACACTACTGAAGATCCAACGGTATTAGAGTTTGTCACGTTCCTCACCAAGTACAGTAAATCAGCTGCTGTATGCCAAGCCAACGACAAACCTGCCACGGTCAGAGGAAGCAAGTTATCAAAAACCACCGCTTTATTCAGTGATCGCACAGAACAACGACACACCTTTACACCGAAGAGAACTAGCACTAATCAACCAGAGAAGAGGACGTACACGTGTCAAGTATGCAATAGTCATCCAGGACATTTGTTAATACACTGTCCATTATTCAGAGAAAAGTCACCAACCGAACGTTATCAAATAATTAAAGATCTGAAACGTTGTTTTAACTGCTTCAGCGCGCACATGGCGAGTGAATGTATGAACCCAAAAAAATGCTCAGAGTGTAGCACAAAGCACCACACCTTGCTTCATTTCGGTGACCACGAGCAGGTTGTCACTTCTGCACATGTCACGGTGGCCGCGTCGTCTACCAGAGACCCCCATGCCTCAGTTTTGTTAGCAACCGCCAGCGTGGTGATTCAGAATGAAGAAGGAAATCACGTCACCGTACGAGCACTATTGGACAGCGCCAGTCAAAGTAGCTTTATAACTGAGCGTTGTGCTCATCTATTGCAATTGGTCAGAAAAAAAATGTGACGTTATGGTACAGGCTCTGTCTGGGACACGTGTTCCTGCGGTAAGAGGAAGCGCCAACATAATTATACGTCCTGTCGATCAAGAAGAACCGCAATTTAACGTAGATGTCCTAATTTTATCTCGTATAACAGGACCTGTGCCGTCAGAACGCGTGTGGTCAGATAACTGGCCCCACATACATGGATTACAATTAGCCGACCCTGAATATTCCGAGACGCTACCGATTGACGTTTTGCTCGGTGCTGATATTTTCCCGCACCTTTTCCTAGGTGATAAAAGGGAAGGTATCGCGGGACAACCGATTGCCATGTCTACGGTCTTTGGGTGGGTGCTCATGGGAAAAACGTCTAGTACACCAGACAGGAACATAGTCACTATGTGCTCAACCATGGATTCAGTAGACCGAACATTACAGCGTTTTCTAGAAAACGAAGACGTTCCAACCGTAGAGAAATCTAGTCAGGCTGACTTGGAATGCGAACGAATATATCAATCAACCACAACGCGTCAATCGGATGGGCGTTATATAGTGCACTTACCATTTCAGCAAGACCCACCACTTCTCGGGAAATCGAAAGACGTGGCATTGCGTCGGTTAGAACAGTTGGAAAATCGGTTCAAACGGTTTCCTGAGCTCCGTGACGAGTACCACAACGCAATGAAAGACTATCTGGACTTGGGTCATATGTCTCAAATAAAAGTGCCATCAGTCGATGAACAGACGGGTGCGTATTATATTCCCCATCAGGCGGTGCTGCGTCCGGAGAGTACAACTACGAGAATGCGTGTTGTTTTTGACGCTTCGGCAAAGTCTTCTTCAGGACTATCTTTAAACGATAACCTTTGGTGTGGAGAAAAACTACAACAGGAATTACCAAGCATAGTCCTACGTTTCAGACTACATCCCGTTGTATTTACTGCTGACGTAAAGCAAATGTTCCGTCAAATAAAAGTGACCGAAGCGCACCGGCCATACCAACGTTTACTATACCGTTTCACGCAAAATGAACCGATTCAGGAGTACGAAATGAATACGGTGATGTTTGGTCAGAAATCCTCACCGTTCCTAGCTATACGGACTCTACATAAGTTGGCAGAGGATGAAGCCGCTAACATGCCCACCGTGCGAGAGGTCGTACAGCATGACTTATATGTGGATGATGTGGCGACAGGAGCAGAAACCGAAGAACTGGCAATGGAACTTCAAAAAAACCTCGTGGAAGTTTTCGCAAAAGGCCAATTCGAATTCAGGAAATGGTCAAGTAACTCAGAAAAATTACTGGCTTCTATTCCTGTTGACCATAGGTATACACAACCGGTTACACTCATCGAGCAAGAGTCTGAGCAAACAAAGGTACTTGGTTTAAACTGGGACCCAAAAGCTGATGTACTTAGTTACAAATATCAACCCAATCCTGTGAAATATAGTAAACGCGCTATACTTTCCGAAGTTGCTCGTATTTACGATCCTCTTGGGCTGTTATCACCAGTTACCACAGACCTCAAGAGACTCATGAAATATCTCTGGTTGGTAGAAGTCGGTTGGGATGAACCCATCCCGGAAGAAGCGGCGACAGCGTGGAACAAATATCATCAGGAATTGCCCGTGTTGGCCACGTTAAAAATTCCTCGTCTTGTCACACATACTCGTGCGTCGTATGAGTTGCACGGATTTAGCGACAGCTCAGAGGCAGCGTACGCAGCAGCCGTATACATACGTGTAACTTCAGAAAGCCAAACCAATTGCCACCTTCTGATGGGAAAGTCGAAGATAGCCCCATCTTCAAAGGTTTCTGTCCCACGGTTGGAGCTGTGCGGCGCGTGGCTACTTGCTCGTCTCATCAATTACGTTCAGCAGCACCTCGAAATGCTAAGGATATCAAATGTTACTGCTTGGACGGATTCCACGGTAGCATTATCTTGGATTCGGACACCGACGGTACGGCTAAAGACGTTTGTAGCAAATCGTGTGGCAAAAATACAACAGCTAACCGACACGAAAATCTGGCGCCATATTCCGACCCGTGACAACCCCGCCGATTGTGCGTCCCGAGGACTTGGGCCTAACGATCTAGCTACACATGAGTTATGGTGGAAGGGTCCCACATTCCTACGCCAACCTGAGAACACTTGGCCTGTGGAGGGAACAAGGTGTCCCGCTAGTTGTCCAGAGGAAGAAGTTGAGCAGAAGCGGATCACCCTACTCACCCAAGTTGTCGACGATGAATGCCGTGTACTGCGGCAATCAGATAACTTATCCAAAGTGCTAAGACTCACAGCGTACCTGCTGAGGATAGTTGACCGGCTAAGAAAGAAAACCATTCCACATTGGACGTCGCCACCGACAACAGAGGAGACCGACAGAGCGCTACGGTCCTTGATACGTTGGACACAACAGGCTTTCTTTGAAGACGTCAAAAAAGCTCTTAGTGCCGGTAAAAGCGGCCTGGTTCATCTGCGAAGGCTCGCCCCCTTCTTGGACAACGAGGATCTTCTCAGGGTGGGAGGTCGCTTAGAGCATGCACTTATACCATACACTGAAAAACATCCTCTTCTCTTACCAAAAACTGCTCGATTGACCGAGCTATTAATCGATCACGTCCACCGTACCAAAGGTCACCCTGGACCACAAACGATGCAAAATCTATTACGCCAGAACTACTGGATACTTTCGTCTCGTAGTATTATTAAAAAGAGAGTACACAGATGCGTGCCATGTTTTCGTGCGAAGCCTCGTCCAGTACAGCCATTTATGGGCAATCTACCTCGGTTCCGTCTAAATCAAATAAAGCCATTCAGTAAGGTCGGCGTGGATTTTGCGGGCCCTTTTGACGTGAAAGCAGCCATGATACGTAAGATCAAAATAACCAAAGCCTATATATGTATATTCGTCTGTCTGGTCACTACCGCAGTTCATATCGAACTCGTTTCCGATTTATCGACCCCTCTTTTCATCGCTGGTCTGAACCGCTTCATCAGCCGGAGGGGCCGATGCACGGATATCTACAGTGACTGTGGTACCAATTTCGTGGGAACCCATCGGTACTTAACGGAGGTAGAGGCTATCATCCAGGGTGCTGATTTTAACAACAACGTTCTTGAACATCAAATTCGATGGCATTTTAACCCACCCTCGGCGCCACACATGGGAGGAATATGGGAGGCTGCCGTAAAGTCGACAAAGTCACTTTTACATCGTGTAATCCAGAACACCGTTCTTACATACGAAGAACTTAATACAGTACTCCACCAAGTGGAAGCTACGCTAAACTCAAGACCCTTAAGTGCTATGTCATCGGATCCAAGCGACTACAGGACCCTCACGGCGGGTCACTTCTTGACCCTGGAACCACTTGTAACGATCCCGAGTCCCAAGGATGTCGCAGATTTGGTTACAATGAGCTCCCACAAACGATGGTCACTGATCCAACAGATTCAATATCATTTCTGGACCCGGTGGAAAAATGAGTATTTGCATACTTTACAGGAGAGACCTAAGTGGACTCGTCCCGACAAGAACCTGCAACTCGATGATCTTGTCATCATCAAAGAACCGACTCCTCCGCTCAAATGGAGTACCGCAAGAGTTATCGAAGTACATCCCGGAGACGACGGCATTGTGCGAGTGGCCAAAGTAAAAACTTCAACCGGAAAAGTTCTTACCCGCCCTGCGGTAAAACTATGCCCAATGCCCTTGAGAGATTGAAGCCGAGTACCTTCAAGGTGGGCGGTATGTTTGGTAGTTACGTAAGCAACACCAACACTGCGATAAGCAGATGCCGCCTTCCCGCTACTCTCGGTAACCGGATCAGTTCGTGCCCGCACCTAGCCGTTGCCAGTGTCACGCGACGTGAATGTTGTCGTTGGTTTTTGTTGTTTTTACCATGTTGTTTTTTATTGTGCGCTGTGTCTCGTAAAACCCGTCATCGTCCTACCCATCACCGTCGAAGTCACCGTCCTACCCATCACCGTCGAAGTCACCGTCTTACCCATCACCGTCGAAGCCACCGTCACCGAGGTCAACGCGTCACCACCGGCATTGGCTGCGTACGTCTTTATTCTAAAACTTTATTATAATTTGTTGTGTTATTTTTATTCGTCATCCCCGACGAATCCCCCAGATTGGCCAGTCCCTGTGTAACCCTTTACTTGTACCTAAATTTGTTTTGTTTTGAATTTTTTAAAAAATAGTAGTCCGCCGCTCACGGCAAAAATCAAAATACAGTTGTTACCATTTATTTAAACAATACAGTCCACTAACCTAAACTGAGCTAACATTACATAATAATAAACATATTATATTTTACCCTAACCGTTTTCTAAAATAAAGGTTTATAGTGTAATTATTAGTTATTACTGTTTGGTAATTGGTTATTACTAAATAACTTATTCGTATAATATATTAATATTCATGTCCATATTTCATAAAATATTTTGTTGATGTCAGTTTATTTTTAACTATAGTGAATGTGGTTTATTGTTTTTTTTCCCATGCACCTATTACTGAAATATGTTAATAATTTTATATACAATTTAAATTCTACGAACTATTTATTTGTAATTTACTATATTATTATATTTGTTCATTTTGCTAGATTTTGATGTGGTTGAATTTTTCATAAATACCCTTGTTCAAATATTCGGTGAAATTGTGCAATTGATGAACACCAAAAACGATATGTTTGAAAGACCATTCCTATACGAGAGATCCTGCACCCCCGTTCTCCCCCCACCCCTTTAAACAGTGAACTGTGCTTACAATATAACTTGGTAACAATAATAATAATAATAATAATACTATTTGACGGAAATAATAATTATTAATAATATGTGGCAGGTAAGTATAATACTATATACAGGGTGATTCATTAAGCGTACACACTCACTATCTCAAAAAGTATTAATGTTTTTGAAAATATTTTTTTACATAGTTTCAAGTTGTCAAAAAAACAACGTTTTTATTAAAAAAATTATATTTAAATATTTTTTATCCTTATAATTTTTAAGTTTTTTACTTTTTTGAATGACAACATAGAGTTTTAATTTCATATTACAAAGCAGAATATTTTTCTAAGTATATTGATACATAAAAATCGAATTTAGGGAGAGTAGTTTATGAGTTATAAGTATTTAAAATTTAGATGGGCGGTGTGGAGTGGTATGGGGTTACCCTGCAAAATGTTTGTTCACTACTCCGCTTGTCGATACTTTAAATACTTATAAGTTATAACTCATAAACTACTCGTCCTAATTTCGATTTTTGGAATTTTCAAATATTATATTGTAAGACCAATTTTTTAAATTATTTTTTGACATACAAATATGGTAATGAGGCTGGAATGCTGGATACGATATATTTTTGTTGTTTCTGACCGATTTTTCGTAAAGTGTTGGTACGGTGCGGTATGTGTAGAATGTATATACAGGGTCTTAGGTATCACGCTGTATCTTTATTTTCATGTATTTACATATTAATTAGTAATTACATATATAGGGGGCCAGTGAGATTCATGGATGCGTCAGCCAGGCTTACACAAGCGTGCTGACGTGGGGAGAGCTCGTTTTTCGACAGCCGATATTAATCGTTTTTTCCTACCACATTTAACAGGGAAATAGCGATCAGGGTTACAATGAGGGACGGACTCCCCAGCCGATACCGCTTAGCTTAAACAAGCGGCTACTACTCGGCGGAAAGGAGCTCGGGATGACGGTACTTAAACAAGTGGCCAGGGGGGAAAGTGTGGTCGGCGGCGGTAATCATGTGTCGTCTTGATCCTCTCGTATCGTGGGTGACTTGCGATCGCCGCGATCGTTGGTGTGGATGATCGTAGGCTCGCTGCTTCTCACCGATGGCTACTCCTGGCCAGCGGTCGTCGAATACAATGTGCCTTGTTCGCCTCGTCGTCCCGAGTGGTCAGCGTCGTTGTAAATTGGGTCGTCGTCTTCGTCCGGCGTTTATGCTGCGAATTCGTCATTGGTCGGTGTTAGTCTTCGGTTTTTGAGTCTCCGGTCGTCAATGTTCAAAGTTCTTATAAAAAGGTACTTGCTGACGGTTAGAGATAAAAAAAAAGACTGACTGAGTTTTTGCATTGCTTGGTAGGAGGGACTTTTGGTCCTTTTGCCGAGTTTCGGGGCTATGGCCCCCTGGCTCGAAGTAGATGGTCGATTTTCATGATGTGTTCTCGGATTTGGGCACTATATCGTGAGGGATGGTACTCTTTTCACCCAAAAATGACCTTCCTCTTTTCACCAACGTCCTCTTTTTGACCAAGTATTAGGCACTGTCTCAAAATGATTTATGTTTGATATAATATCGATACTAATTGGTATAGATTGTGACAATCTCGTTTGTGTATACCTGATATCGGAATTTTCATCTACCATCGGACGTAATAAAAGTGATATCGATATAATATAACAAATAATATATGAGGCAGTTGTCGGTATTGCGGTGTAATTATATATTAATTTTAGTATGTCATTCACTTTCCTACTGAATAGGCGCTTGTGTTTTTTCTTTGCGTTTTTTCCTTGCGTTTTTCGAGTGATGTAAGTTTTAGAATTTTTAGAAAGTAAAAGGGGTGAACGCATGGTTGTTTATAAACATTTTAAGTTCAATTTTGGATCAACTAGTAAAAAAGATAGCTCTAACCGTTGGAGATGTGTAACAAAAACGTATGATGCAAAATTATATACAGATAAAAATTATGTATTTTCTTCAGCCGTCGGAGAACATTATCATAATAAATATGATGAATTGAATACTAATCGCTAAATAGTCAATACGGCATGCAAACGAAAAGCAATAGAAGATCTCCATACAAGACCAAAAAAAATTATATTAAAAGAAATTGCTCAAAACGACTCGACGTCATATTTAAACATACATGATATAAAATAGTTAAGGAACAATATGTATAAATATTGTGCAAAAGTTTTTCTTCCTAATCCTACTAATATAAATGAAGTTCATCAGTATATTTCCGGAACCGAAATAATAACTGTAAGAAATGAACATTTTGTATTAGATAACGATGAAAATAAAAATGGAATTATATTTTCATGTGAAAGAAATTTACCTTTTCTTGTTGAAAACGTATACGTCGATGGCACGTTTAAATATTCTGCAGGATTTTTTGAACAAATGTTCACTATTCATGGATATAAAAATGGTCATTATATACCATTAGTTTTTTGCCTGTTAGTTAATAAATCGGTCCAAACATATGAATTTTTATTTAAGAAAATCACCGAAAAATGTAATAGCCTTGGAGTACGTCTATCACCGTTAAAATGTACGGTAATAGTATCAATTTACAAAACTTTCCTAATGATAGGAAAGTAAAAGATCGTCAACTAAAAAACGAAGACAAAATACAACAGTACAATAGAGGAGAGATATAGATTTCTTAAATCAATATCATTCAACTATACAAAAAATTTAAATTTAAATTAAATCCATTCAAATAGGATTTAAATAGGATTAATCCATGACATAACATTTTTTTAACGACGTCATAATAACTAATGACAAATACATACCTATTTTATATTATATAATAATTATTTTAATGGGCACAAACACAAATACATTTTTGGAGAGTAATAGAAGCCGCCTCCTCGTGGTGCTCTCTGGGTTATGCTAAATGGCTTTATTAAATTTATTTTTGAGATAGTGCTTACCAAAATGTCGAACATGAAACCGTGGGCGAAAAGAATGCAATTATTTTTAGGCGAAAAGAGGAAACTATTTTATCATACTTGGTCGAAAAGAGGACGTGGGCGAAAAGAGGAAGGTCATTTTTTGGCGGAAGGAGTTACGCCCATCCCATCGTGAGTGCGTTTGGCCTTTTCCTGGCAGATATTTCAGGACCGATGGTTTGGCAAATATTGCGAAGGTGATGATGGTTTGACGTTGCCAGTCTTGCGTACATATTCTGGGAATCTCAGGTAACTGATTATTGGACTGATGTCATATGCGTCTTTTGTACGTACTAAGGAGAGCCCGTGATCGTACGAAGAGCGATGTTTTACACTGATTCGATTTTTTTCCAGCTAGTTAGGGAAAGTTGAGCTCCCCATGCAGGTCCTGCGTATGTGAGTATTGTCCTCACATACATTTGGAATATGTTTAGTCTTGTTCGTAGTGGGACTCGTAGTCGTAGGACTGTGGTGGCTGATTATTGGGTATAAGACTGCTCTGGTACATTTTTCCTTGATTGTGGTTCCAATCGCGTGAAGATGGAATGTCTTCATCTGTTGTCCAGGTGAACTCCAAGGTATTTGACAGTTGTTCTCTACTGAATAGCTGTGTTGTTGTTGATATTGTGATAACTATCAATATCTGATATTGACCATGATAAGCTGATAAAAGTTCAATAGGTTATATTATTATTTTGTTTTAACTACAGTAGTATTACCATGTGAAGTAGTTCTTAATTTTTACCTATGTAATAATTTGTTAAATAAAAAGCTTTTGTATGTAATGTTAATTTGTCATTAGTTATTACGCTTCCGAATAATATTATGTTCTGCAAACAATTTTGAACACAATAAAACAGTTGATACGCAGTAATGAGGTATTTTTAGTCCTATTCTTCCAAGTTTGATGGCTATGAACTTTTCCGGGACGAGAGTGCGTCTCCAGTTCTTTAGCCAGAGAAGATTAACGTGTATCTGGGTTTGTAGTTTGTCGACGGCGTATTGCATACCTATACTGGTTGACATGAACATAGTGTCGTCCGCAAATAGGTTAGTTGTTGTTCCCGGAGTGGGAGGCATGTCATTGTTGAAGGCGATGAATAGAAATGGTGATAGGCATGATCCTTGGGGGATGCCTGCATCGGGTTGTCTTGGTGTTGAGAAAGCCGATCCAAGTCATACAGAGTACGATCAGTTTGACAAGAATGACTGAACTAGACTGACAAGTTGCAGAGGTGTGTTGAGTTTGAGTAATTTGTGCAGTAGTCCATCGTGCCATATCTTGTCGAACGCTTTTTCGACGTCTAGGAAGACTGAGGCTGTTTTTTCCCTCGATTTGTTGCGTTGGTCAGGTGCTCAACTTCTTGCGTCAGTTAGTTTGTTGTCGAGTGCTGTAGACGGAAATCAATTTGTTCCTGTCTGATCGACGGAGACAGTAATTTCTTGAGTTTGATCAGGATTAGGATCTAGAGTACCTTCGCCATGGTGTTTATTAGTGAGATTCGCTGATGGTTAATTGGATTTTTCAGGTCCTTTTTCTGGTTTTGGATTCATTATGACCATGGATATTTTCCAGGGGGCGGGAAAGTGTTGGTATCTGAAGCAGGTGTTCAACATTTTTGTAAAAACCAGCAAAGTCTTGTCTGAAAAGTGTCGGAGAGCCGTGTTGGGTATACCGTCTGGATCGAGTGCTTTGTTCCGTGGTAGACGCTTGATAATGAGCTTCACTTCTCCTGGCGATACTGGTTGGATTCGGGACTTAGCTACCGAATGTAGAGTTTGTATTGAGCCAGTGACCAGCTCGTTTGTGGATGGAGTTCCTTCAGAACATATATGAATTGGGCTGCTAAGTTTGCAGCGAAGAGTTCTGCTTTGCCAGGGGAGTCGAAGACTAGGCCTTGTGGACTAATTAGCGGGCGATCAGGGGGTCTTCTGTTTATCAGAGATTTGTTAAGCTTATAGATTTTTGGGTCTCGTGGTCTAATGCAGGCAAGATAGGTGGTCCATTCGGATTGCCTAAGTTGGTGCATCAGGTTTTTGACAATAGATGTCTGGTTATTGAAGTGGTGTTTGGCTTCAGGATTTCTAGTGTTTTGCCACATTCTCCTGAGTCTTCATTTTCTGCGATTTCTTGACATGCTTTTGGTCAGTTGACTGTCGAAAATGAAGGTTTTCTTGTTCATGGTTGTTTTTACGAGAGTTGTGAAGTTGCTGACCGCTTGATCGAGTTTGGCGATTGAATTGATGACTTTATTTGGGCTGATAATGGGGGCAGTGAAGATCCACGGTGAATCTGGGCCAGTTTGTTATTTTTTTCGTTATCACTGGTGGGCTTGACGAAGGTTTGCCGTGCAGAGTTAGGACAACCAGGCTGTGGTCAGAGGATAGTTGGTCGGTAAAGTTGTCGATGTCATATGTGACATGGATTTCGTTTCAAATTCTCAATATCCAGAACGTCCGGTAGTTGGTCTTTTTGGTCGGGGATACGAGTCGGAGAGATAATGTAGTCACGGTGATTCATGTGATTTTTGAGAGCTAGGCCTGTTTGGTTGGCCAATCTGCTGTTCCAAGCTGGGTTGGAAGGTCGGTGTCTAGCATTAGGTGGATGTCTGCCGTTTGGAGGGTTGTTACTGGTTTTTTGTAACCAGCTGAAAGCCTCATCCCGTGGTGGTTGATTTAAATGTGAATAGTGGTGTTTTCGATAGAGTTTTTCGTGCTGGTAGTCTCATAGTGGATGAGCCTGTTGAACACTAAGTTAGCCGTGCCTCCAGCGCTCCTTTGACCTGGTGTGTTACGCGGTCGTATCGGTAGATGTGATAGTTTGGAAGTTTGAAAGCAGTTTTGGGTTGGTGGTGGGTTTCATTGAGTAGGATGATGTGGATTTTGTGGTGTTGTATGAATTGGAGAAGTGCCAGTTTTTTATTGCCTAGGCCTTTTCAATTCCAGTGGAGAATTTTAAGTTGTTCAGTAATTTTGGCTAATGAGTGAGACTATGGCTGAGATGGCTAGAAGGATGGTATCTTTGAAGTTCGATGAAGTCGCAATTTGGCTGATCACGAGGTTTAGGATTTCTATTAGGTCCGAGTTTGTCTTGTTCATGTTCGTGACATTAGGAGATTGGACAGCATTTGGTGGTGAACAGACTTGGGCGTATGTTAGGGACTTGGGTTGGATGATTGAGGTTTGTGGTGTAGAGGCTGGTTGGAGTTCTAGAGGGTGTTTCTGTTCAGAGATGCTGCTTTGGTGTAGGCAGGACACTTCCGGTAGATAGCCGTGTTTACTCCGTTGCAGTTTCAGAATCTGGGTGGTTGTCTGAGGTCTTGGTACTTGGACTTGGTAGTGCATTCTTTTCCACGATTATATTGTTACGATAGTACTATAATATAGTATACCTACGACGTATTAATATACAATTGTTGACCCTATAAAATCAAAAAATGCAATATGAAATTATATATTTTACTACAATATATTAAAATTTTTATTAAGGTATTCATTTAAAAATATTTAGATCAGGCAGGTAACTTTTTACGAAATCAAGGCATTCTATTTTTATGGATCAAAATTATAATTAATGATTTGAATGGAAGATCTTTGGGACAAAAACGAGGAGATTGGGTATAATATGCTACTGGAAATGGTGTACGGTAAAATGTACTCATAAAATGTTTTTTTAACCCAACATAGATCAGACCAGCTCCTTATCTCCAGGGTCGGACGAACGTGAGAAGAAGTGGAAAAGTGGACATCACAGCGGATGAAAAATATTAATCAAGAAACTTTTTCCCTTTTTTAATGAATGCTTATTATTTTTGTCCAACTGGCTAAACCAATTATCCAACACTGCTCTTTCTCGTCCTGTAAGGCTTATACTTTATTTATGAGTACATATATATTTTTTTTATCAACAAAAACTTAATTGTATATTTTTATCTTGTTGTGTGCAAGTTTTTTGCGATAATTAATGTTCTTTTATCACTTTATTCTTATGATTTAAATGTCTTATATACGTGAAATTATCGGAAAGGAAATAATATAATTGAAACACTATTAAATTTACAACAACGATTTAAGTTATATGTTTTGTGGTCCACATAGTTTATTAGCATCAAATATTTCATTCGCTTCTTCGGCAAGGATATTATTATCCGAGTATCAACTTCTTCGTCTTACACTTATTAAAAATTCAATTACATTTTAAGTACACAATTGTATTTCTATCTCGTGGAAAATAATTTACCACCATGGATATACAATTATATTTTGTTCATCAAATGGAAATTACAAAGTCTCTATAACATACCAAATAGACAATGGAAGTCGCTGTCCATGCATACACAAGTTAGACCCATTTTATTCTTAAATACAAATATGCAATTATCAAAATATTTTCATTTATTAGGTGTTAAATAATATACTATAATATCATATTTACAGATGTTTGGGTATGGTTACTATAATATTAATTTAAGAAATGTCCTATTTTAGAAACATAATGGTATCACATTTTGGTCTCAAATCACATTTTTTCACTAAAAGTTTGATAATCTTTGAAAATACTATGTTACATCTAAATTTACACTCAAACGGTCGGTTTCTGGTTCATTAAACATGACCTACTAAATTAATTATGAAATATAAAACGGATATAACATTTAGATTAGTAGTATATCCATGAGCGGCCGTGGGGGGGGGGGCAAAGAATGCATTCCCCCCCACCAATCAACGAAGTTTTCCTATGTTGTACACTATGTTTAGACAAATTTGTAGCTAATTTTGTACTTTTTTTACTTTTTGTACTTTTGCCTCCCATGACCCTCAAAATCAATGGGGAAGGGGGAGTCTTTGGATCCGCCACTGCTTTAGATTTTAGTTTAGTAAAATCATTAGCTATTTTATATTTGAAAATATAACTCCATTTGACTTCGGAAACAGCGCTCAGTCATCTACCAAAGTGCATAGATCCAACAAGACTTAACCAGATATCAATCATTGTTCTGTCACATTTTTACTGTAAAAGATTTATGCTCGGTATATTAGTTTTTTTTTAATAATCAATAAACTTTATACGATATTAAAAATAACATTCCTTGTTTTATAGTAAAATAGGCATTAAATGATTTTTCGTGTTTTAAATATTTTATACGACTATAAATAAAAACTACAACTGGCTCTCTCCAATATTACCTTATAAAGGTAATAAACTGAGAAATATTAATTTAACATACAGTATTTTTCTGAAATAAAAATTATAATCCAAAGACCTTCTTGTTCTCATTCCTCAATAAAATATTGCATATTATGATAAAGTGTAAAAAGATATGAGTTAAAAATAACAAATTAACTTATCAACATGCAATGATATTATATACATAATAAAAACTAAAATATAACCCAAATTAATTTTATTGTCTCACATTCGTAATGAATTATACTTAGGTATTTTAAATCTCTTATTAAATTATTATTTTATTCTTTTAAATAATTACAATCATAGTCGATATACCTAATAAATGTTTACAATGGTCCTATAAATATTTTTTTTGAATAAGTAAATGTTTTTTTTTTTCACAATTTAAAAGATTTTTTAACTAATTATTTATTTTATTGCAAAATCCAAGCACAATATATTACATATTTTAATTAAAAATAAGCAAAGTAGTAGTGCTTTTAATGTTATGAACAACTGAGTACCGGATGATTGTGTTGATCCTGTTTCAGTCTTTTCAGTTAGTATAATTGTGGCGCCGGGACTTAGATCAATCCACTCTGCGGTTAAAATTGATTTTCTAAAAATAAAACATTACATAAATATGTATATTAGATTGCTAATATTATTTGTTTAGTGCAACAATCCTCCACAATGGAACATTATCTACTTATTTTTACAAAATCATTATGTACTAACCCGGTGTCAAAATTCGAGTTTACTGATCCAACAACAACAGTTAGAGAGTCACACAAATTTGATAGTTTGTCTGATAAACGTACACGCTGTGTATAATTTGAATCCATGTTGATAATTAACGTGTAATTCTCATGTCCTGGTAAAAATCTGGAAAATTTATTAAAGTTATTTCTTTATACGATTATTCAGACAATCGAATTAGGTATTTTAGTAAATTTATATTTTTATCCCTAGTAAAAATCTTCTGACGCCCTTGCATTTTAAGTTTAATTATATGGACGATAGTGAAAAGTTTGATGCTCTAAAATATTGCTATAATATTATACTTTGAAACTGAATTAATGGTATTCCTGATCATCATATTCATATATAATGTGGACAATCAGTGCAACTTGAGAGTTCCTATACCTCCCCCTAGTTGGCTTCTTGCCTAGAATTTACTTTTTGTTTTTTTTTATTCTGGTGGTACATATATAAATGAACTTATTTATTAGTAATTTACGTTAAAAACCCTGCTTAGATTATGGTTAGGGTTGTTTATAACTTTGTTTAGACTGTTTGACTCACTATAGTATCACTTATATATATATATATATATATATATATAACATTATTGTTACACCAATAGATTGTTTGATGAGCTCAGAATCTAAAATGCCTGATGGTAGGGGTAGTATGTGTAATTAGGTTTACTGTAAGTTATTGTTCAAATTTCATGTTTCTATCACCATGGGAAGTGCATTAAAAAGCGTTGAATTTTTTTGTTATACTAATTTTTTATGACCCACCTAGACCAAATACATATTAATGTCAAATAACTTAACAACAACAGAGGCACGAATGAGAATGAAAATAACACCTAAATGCATAATTTGTATAAGACCATTATAAGGAAGTTATTGTTCAAATTTTAAGTTTCTATCACCACGGGAAGTGCATCAAAAAGTGTTATATTTTTTTTGTTAAGCAAATTTTTTATGATTAATGTAAAAAAACTTCAATAAAATTAAATTTTTAATTCTTATGATGACTTCAAATTATTAAAGTAATCAAAAATCAGTAATGTAAATTTTGTCGAGACAATAAGAATAAGTAAATACATTTTTAGATTAGTTTTGTACTACATAATAATCATTGTTTATTTACCTGTTTAAAACAAACACTTTATTGTCGTTAAAAATATCAGTCGCCAAACCTCCTCTTTTAAACGTTTCAGTCTGCCGTAATTTCGATACTGATTTGAAAAAGTTCAAATAACTTTTAGGATCGTAGCTTTCAGACTGCACATTTCTCGTGACATAATCTGAATGAACAGCGACCCATGGTTCATTTGTACCATCAGTGAATCCTAAATAATATAACAAATTATTTAATTATTTATTTATAAAAAGTGACAAAATTTCAAAAATAACAATTTTTTTCAGTATAATTAATATTTGTTATTATAGACAGTCACATCTCTTGATCTATGTATTTCTTACATATTAAGTATAATTATAATAATACATTTTGTGATTATACATTTCGTGTTATATCACATATATTTTGGATGTTGATCTAATAATGTGAAATTGGTTGTCAAGACGAGACGTCCCAGTTCTTAATGCTTTGACCCGGTTTCCAGAATATCTTTGTCACATTATGAGGGTTTTGATGTGTAATAGAAATATAAATTATTGTAATAACAATATGTTAAGTACTACGTTTAAAAAATATAAATTCTTGTAAGTAGCATAAAAACCAAAATATTGTTAAAACCGACGTACAATGATAATGTTTTTATCTTAAAATTGTATACTAGGTCAATTCACTAAAGTTATTAAATCAAATATTGTAACAACACAACATTGGTTCTGCCGAATGCAAATTTTATACTTCGTACATTTACTAGGCCGAGACAACACTTATGGGTGTGACTTACACTTTTAAATAATAAGCTAATATACGACTAAAATGCTACATAATTATAAGATATTTGAAATTGTAGTGAATATTTAACAGCGACCCATGGTTCATTTGTACCATCAGTGAATCCTAAATAATATAACGTACTATTTAATTATTTATTTGTAAAATGTGACAAAATGTCAAAAATACTTAACAATTTTTTTCAGTATTATTAATGTTTGTTGTTATAGGCTTAGGTTAGGTTAGGTTAGGTTTTATAATTTATATGTTATATTACAACTAGCTGATTTACCCGGCTTTGCCCAGAGAAAAATTGAGATTGTTCAACCCAATTTGGTGAGTGTAACTCACTGTGGAAACAATGTCTTTTTAAGTGTAAATTATTATTATTATTTTTATTGACTGCCATCCTAATAAGCGTTTTCCGTGAGATTCACTTGTAATTATGCGAGCAG